GGGGAAGAGCGGGTGGGAGGCTGCAGTTGGTAGTAGGTGGCAGCATGCGTTTGGGGGGCGGCAGTGAGGTTGCTCCCCCCTCTCTCTCTCTATTTCTCTTTCTCTTTCTCTCTCTCTCTCTCTCCCTGACATACCGCACACACCGCAAACATGGGACTATGTTAACGACCTCATGCTCCTCCACCATCGACAAACCTGCCACCTGCTCCAGCCCTTCCCCGCCTACAAATCGGACATCGTCAACCATGTTGTGGCATACCTCTGGGCACACGGCGCTCCTCAACGATGACAACTGCTTGAAGACCACCTTTTCCTGCTGGTTCAAGACGACCTTTTCCTTCTTTGCGACGACACCCCGACGATGACAGCTACTACAAGACGACCTTTCCCTGCTGCTCCCACTACTTTGACACGACAAGACGATCCGGCACGACATACTTGGCTACCTACATGACAAGAAGGTCCCGTCACGATCACGAAAACGAAACCCGACAAGGAGAGACAAGGACAAAAACACGACTTCCCTCAATCATGCAAATCTGCGTTCACGCTCTTTCCTCATCGCCTTCTCCTCCTCCTCTTCCCTCCCCCCTCCCTTGTTGCCGCAGCGGGTCCACTTGTTCCTTTCAAAAAAAGAATCCGGTTCGGTTACTTTACCCTTGGCGACCGATAAGAATAGATTCAATAGCAGAAATGAGCAATGGGTACCCAGACCCACACCCACCCGCACCCACCCCACCCACGAGGAATTGGGTCAGGTGTGGGTCTTGATAAGCTGGCATCGGTGGGATGGACTTCAAAAGTTGGAGGCCCAGGAAACCGGAAGTCTTCACCCTGGCCCCCTGGAAAAAAAACTTAAATCCTCGAAAAAGAAAGAGGCGCGCCAATGGCAAATCGAACTTTGGGATCCTCCTTGAAAACATGTGTCACTCTCTACCGGTGGCAGCTGGACCATGGCCCAAACAACGGGATGTTCGGTCCCATTAAAATAATGGGGATCGAAGTTCGCTCCCCAATTTCAAACTTGTGGAGCGCTTCAAATTTTCACACCGTCATCCAAAGACAGACGAAAGTGGAGATGCTTCAAATTTCCGCGCCGTCATCCAAGGATGTTGATGTGGTGCGTGTAAATGTTCGAAGGGACTGAGACAATGGGGAATGGGCGGGTGTGGGTTAGAAAATAATTAGGTACCGGGTGCGGGTGGGTAATTTTGTTCTCGCGGGTCTGGGTGGGTCAGGCAGGGTGAAGGTTTTTCACAGGTGACGGGCGGGTTGGCTGTAGGAGGAAAATTTCAAAAGAACACTCGGGTGGGTTGGGTCGCCATGAGATTCATTTATTTATTTATTATTGAGGGCGGGCTGTACTTCAACAAATGCAGGTGGGTTGGGTGAAGTGCCAATTCAAAAAAAAAACGCTCATCTCTGTTCATTAGAGCCTTCACATACTCATCACACTTCCTTCCGCTGGGGCTCAAAGCATGCTCACTCCAGTGCAAATTTAAACATATCGGAGTGTAATTGCGACCATACTTGGATGTGCCTGACAGCAATTACAACCAGAAATAAGTAAAAAGGTCATAGTGCAAATATGCGCTGAAGGACCCCCGATCACCATTGATTGCTCTCTTTCTTACTTTCTGTTATTTACCCTTTTCTCTTACTTTTCCCCCTAGAAACAGCTGGCTGCTTTTGCTTGCTTTGCTTGACCTTTTTTTCTTTTCTTTCCTTTTCTTTCCTTTTCGTTTTTTGGCCCTTCTTTGTCACTCAATGGGAGTTTTGGTCAACAGCTTATTTCTTTTTCTTTCCCTCTCTCTTTTTTTCTTCTTTTTTTTTGTTTAAACAGCTTATTTATTTGAGGTTTGGCAACAGAAAAACAATTCAATACGTAAATAGCGGATATAGATCAAAGGTAAATTGTCTGCCTTCCAAGCAGGGGATATGGGTTCGATTCCCATTATCTGCAATTGCGATTTGATGAAAAAAAAACTGAGATAAATAAAATGCACGTATCAAAATTTAAAACTTGTCGACAAATCTCGGAAAATGTTTGGCAAACAAAAAAACATACTCAAAAACAAAATATATATATATTTCGAAGGCTCCAAAAAAAACAAACACGGCCGGTAAAGTTCACAAAAATTACAAGTGATTAAAGAGTTATCTATTTTTATGGTAATCTGCCTGTTCAAAAAGTAGCCAAAAAAACGTATACTTATTTAGACAAACAAAAGAGTTTGTTATTATTCATGGAGAAAAGATTGGACATTCTTCTTGTACGTATGAATTTTGTTGGTTAAAGACCCGCACATCCAGCTGCACGTAAGCTGAGTCAGTAGCGTAAGTAATGTCATTCGGGGTTGCTGACATTTTATGAACTCATCTCAGACACTGTGACTGAACAGAAACGTCATGTGAATGTGTCAGTAGGGTGGTCCATGGGTTAAAAAAAAAAGAAAAAAAAAAAGGATACTCCATGGGTTACCAGACGCTGACAGAAACTGACGTTGATTAAAGAGCCAGACACCCAGCTGCACATAAGCTCAGTAGAGTAAGTAAGATCAGGGTTGCTGGCGTTTTAAACCACCAGTACATGGGCACCTGGGCCGCGGGTCTGACACCTCAAATTCTGGAGGGGCGAAATGAAAACGGGGCCGCAAAAGATTTGTATAATTTGATATGGGACGCTGGGCCCGGTTCCCAGCACGTGTTGCTCCCCACGAATAGATTGAAGCTTTTGATTCAAAAAAAGAAGAAGGAAAAAAAGGGGGGGCCGCCGATCGAACTTATCAACGGCGGGCCCAGCGTTTGACGTTTTGGCCTCGTTTTCTTGTGGCGACAAGTTTCGGACTGCAAGGCTGGAGCCGTGTACTCGTGGTCTAAGACCTCATCACAGACACTGTGACGGAACCGAAGCATCATGGGAATGCGGCAGCAGGGCACTACATGCGTCACCTGACGCTGACAGCCAATGATTAGCTCTGAGGACAGTTTTCAACAAAAAAGACGATGACAACAAAGCCGGTCGCCAGCCCTACGTGAAGAAGAGAGAAGGTTGCCCCATTGAAGAGGATAAGGAGGAACGGAACGGTATGGCACATTAGCATCATCGTATAGACAATCAAGCTACTGGAGATAGAACCAAGATATGCAGCATGACGGTCGATTCCAGATATAGAGGAGTAATTAAGATTGTTTTATGAACAGATTCATGTATCTGTAACATGCTCGTCTCGCGCAGACTTTCCGAAGATTCAGTGCACCCCAGATGCTCGTGCTTCTACGGAATTCATACCATCTTCTTCATCCTATTTACGTCCAATAATAGAGTCGTCGACAAGTGGGAAACGGGGATATGCTAAATGCGTCCGAAAAGTGGGAAACGGGGAACTGCTAATTTGCAGCTAACGCATGCAACAACTCAGGATGGATGAAATTGGATGTGGTTATGGGTATGCGAATGGGAAAGAACTTCGCTGCCAACTTATCAGTAGACTAGCTGTTACAGTTCTAAACGGGCGGGCACCGTCCTGCACAAAACATGGCAATGCTTCCGTTATGAGAATGGCCCTCCCACCAGCATAGGGGAAGACAGCAGCACCCATCGCTCGAACACAGGAAGCACCCATTTGGATCGTGAATGGGCAAGAACATCGCTGCCAACTTATCAGTAGGGTTAACTGTTACAGCTCTCCAAGGGCGGCATTGTCCTGGACAAACCGCGTCACTGCTTTCATTATGAGAGTCTCCCTCCCAGCAGGATTGGTTACGCCGCCGCATCCATCGCTCGAACAAAGGAACCACCCATTTGAGGCAATGCACCCACTGTGAGAATACATATGCCACTTCAGGTTGCGGGTAGAGACAAGACTGGGGACGGTCTCGTTGCGAAGCTCTTCTAACCTGCTGAAAAAAGACGATGGAGTACCGCAAGCTGCCAGTTACACCCCTGTTTTTTTCAGGGGCAATGGGCACCAGGTACTGAGCACCACTATTGGCTCCCACTTCTTTTATTTTGCCCACAATAACCGAAAAAGAACGAACACCGGATGTCTCCCAATTGGCGTGCACTAAGTGGGGCAATTTAGCCGATTCGTGGAAGGCGACCCCCTCCCATCTGGGTGGGCACTGATACCTGTTCACATGACGCAAAGTTGGTGTGTCCTTATACATACAATCACATCCACCAGCAAACTGCACACAGGTTCATAGCTATACGACAGAAATGTCGTCTCTGTCTGGTTTGACGCCACCGCCACAGTCCAGCAGACGAACTTTCCTCGGGTCTGTACTAAATCATTGTACCAGTGCAGCGCCACATGCATGCGTGCCCCGTTATCTATTGACTTCATCCCAGCTCCAGGGCAAAGCGCAGTTGGCAAACCCCTGAACTGTTGAATGCAGACCTGAGTTTGAACTCACTGGAAACAGAAGCGAAAACATGCCGCAGCCCCGTCTCAGACAAACACTACGTCCGTACTGAATGTGAGACACCCCTCACCACCAGCTGTGAACGAGTGGGGAACACAAAGGGCTCTCAGAACCACACCCCTCCTAGACGAAGGACGCAAAACCCATCCCTATCTCTGGACCACACAAAGGGGTGTCAAAACCGTGCCCCTCCTAGACGAAATGAGCCCAAACCCATCCCTCTGTTCAGACCACAAGCAGGGGTCTCAGAACCGTGCCTCTCCAAGATCGTCGGAGGCGAAACCGATCCCTCTGTTCCTCAAGGCCTCTTTTCTCCGCATTTCCACCATCTGATTGAGGCGGATTTGACGTGGACAGAAGAATTGGGCTATCAACGGTTGGCTCTCCGGCCTGCACATGAAACCATCACAATCAACAGAAAGGATGGAACTTAATGAGATAGCAACACCAACAATCTCTGTCCCCACCTTTGCCGCGTTAACACTGCATTACACCCTCCCTTCCTAGCAACACCAACAATCTCTGTCCCCACATTTGCGGTGTTAAGACTGCATTACACCATCCCTTCCTTATCCTCTTTCTAATATCCCCTCACCGTGAAGGTATACAGCCTAATACAGGTCCCTATTTTAATATCCGCGAGGCATCCAGGATCATCTACGTGACCCAAAAAAACACACAAAAAAAGAAGGGATCTTCTGATCTCGTACATTTCGCATTGGAAGATATGACATGGAGTTGCCTCCCTGGTTCAGAAGTTTCAACTTTTCCATTCCTACCCTTTCAACAACACCTCCCTTTCTCTGAGGATGTTGGTTAGACTTTCCAACTATAGTAGGATTACCAATGCCGATTGCTGCTTGGGATGTTCGGACCCAACGCTTGCGGTCATGGTCGACAAGTTGTGGGTGGCTGCAACTGACACACAACAAACAGACAGACAGACAGACAGTAGGTACTGCCTACCAACCATACGGAACTACAGACCTAAAAATAACGACGACCTAAAGTACGGCCTGAAACTAAACTAGGCCTACTGTACTGGACTACAGCACAGAAATATGATACAATGGGGCAAAAGGGACTGTCGGACATGAACCGGGGATCTATGAACTTGTGAATCCTTTCAGATCGTTGAATGACAAGGATTACAGCAGGTATACTGGTATGCCTGGTATCAGTGGTGCACTGGTGTGCCTGCTTCTATAGATGCAGCAGCATCCACTGTGAGGACCTGCCAAAACACGGACTGAGAACACAGCTAATTTCTGAGTTTTGCCACTGGAATGAATGCCTTGCTGAGATTCCCGCTTTTTGCTGAGTTTTCTAAGTCTGTGTGTGTGCGTGCTTGCTGGTCTGCGTGCCTGTCTGAGTGCTTGTCGGCCTGAGTGTGTGTGTGGCCCGCCAGGGCACACTTGTTTGTTTGGGAGGCCCGTAGGGCCGGTACTTACCTATGGCTTTGGGGTTGCAGCGGGGAAAACCACTCAAGTGGCCGGAACAGGTAGCTTAGGGCACACTCGAGTAGCGGTAGTGTAGGCTGTAGGTACTTGAGTAGCAGGTAGGCCGGTACCACTCAAGTAGTGGTAGACATGTCGGGAACCAGCGGCCGAGCAGAAGAAGACAAAAAGTTAATATTTTTAGAGGCCCAGTAGCGGTACGCTAGGTCTAAGCGGGTAACAGTCCAAGTAGCCTGAGTCTAGGGCCTGTACGGACAATATCAGAGTCTGCGATGATGTTTCCATCCGAAAGGGAGGAGGTACCGGTTGCTTGGAGGCCGCGCGGCCTGGAAGTCACCGCCCAAGAGGCAGGTTGGGCGCTATATCTCCAGGAGGAGCAAGGAGATCCTCCGCATTTGTTGCGTGCAAGTTCGGGCGTCATGCTGCTGGAGCGACCAGCGGAGGAGCGCTGTGTTGAGCGCTGGGGGAGAGGACGCCCAGCTCTCCACCTTGGCTATGGTGGAGAAGCTCGGGGAGGAGGAGGCGGAAGAATGGGACTAGGAGAGGGGAGCGCCAGGGGTACTACCTGGCTATGGTGGACGCCATCTTCATCACCTTGGTAGGCGCTGCATCTGAAAGGGCCCGTTGGAGTAGCGCTGCATCAAGAAGCTTTGAGGCAGAGTCAAGCATGGCGGCCTGAGAGGAAGAGCCCATAGCGGCTTTGCGTTCACGTCAGGGCAAGGCCATTAGTAGTCCGCCATAGCCTCGTCCTGGATGAAGAAGAGAGAGGAGGGCAGCCATGGCTATGGTGGACCTCTTGTTGTGCTGGCACCTGAAGAGGAATTTGGACATTGATTCTGGTCCAGCCAATCATCATTATTATTATTATTTATTGTTTGAACAAGAGAGGAGGATATAAGGAGGAGGAGTTGATTGGCGAGAAGGAGGGAATTATCATTGGTCTTTTGCTGGTGTACATCTTCTTCTTTCTTCTTTCTTCTTCTTCTTCTTCTTCTTCTTCTTCTTCTTCTTTCCCTCTCTCTCCTCTCAAGTTCATTCATTTCTTTTTGCGATTGGACTGCATTGTGCTTTGTCGTCAATTTGCACTTCGAAATTGGCCACTATCGTAACAAAGACAAGAAATGCTGCGGATCACGAGCACTGAGAGGTGGTGAACCATTCCAGATGGAAGTCCACACACACAAGCCGCACGTAGCACCTTATAGTACCCACCTGCAGGGCAGCCAAACCTTTGTCCCTGGTAATCAGTTGTTACGCTCCTACAGATATGCGTATACATGCACACATTCATCAGTCTATGAGAGACAAAGACGCAGCTGTCCGGGCAGGTGGTCCTCCGATGGTAACCGATCCTCAGGTGGCAAACGATCACCACGTGCATACAACGAGGAAAAGCTCCGACAGGATACCAGGTGAAACCATACGATGAGGGCATACTCACACCAGGACAGTTTTGACTGAGCGCTGGACACAATTGCGGTCATATACATTCAGATATGGCCATATTTACGGTCAGATACACCGAGGAAAGTGCTACCGTCTTCCCCCGAACACAACGCGCCCTCATTATGCCTGTAGCAGACTGGAAAGATCGCTTGCATCCATACATTATCAGGGTGTGATATGTTAGGGGGAAGACGGTATTGTGAGCATGGCTGAGGTAGAGCCTTCGACAGAATAAGCGCCGGCTTTCACAGTCGTGTGTCAGTCCACATCGGCTCTGCTTGAATGCAAAACGCGCTGCAGCTAGTAGTAGGTCACAGCAAGGGCTGGTCACCCTAGCTGGGAGATCGCCGGGGAGGGGGAACACCCTGATCTATTTATTAGGAATTTAGGAGGCCTAAGAGATCTTCTGGGGTCCCTCACAACATATGTAATGACATTGACCAGTGCACGCAGACGTACGGGAAGCAATGGGAGAGATCGACTGGTGAGGAGCAGAAGTGAGAGGGATTCGACTGGCGGATCTTGTATACGGCGAGCTTATCCACAATGGGGCGACCACAAACACTGAAGTTGGGGAGACTTACGGAAAACATGGGCTTGGTTGTCAACCAAGCGTCAAGGCAGCTTGCAAGGTGACGGACGAAAATGCACTTGATTTTGTATTGGCCAAAACAAGGCAAGCACGTGCAAGGAATTTTTAATTCTGTGTTACAGAGGCAATAACTACTGACATGTTTGTACATGTGAGAAAGCAAGTAACTGAAGATCACATTTGTGAAACACGTATGGAAATAGAGCAGGGAAAGGCACGCAAACTTCTTCTTTTTCGTTTTTGTTTTCCCTTTTCCTTGCTTTCCTTTGTCCCTTTTTTCGTTGTTATCGCCTTTACTTTGTTTCAGCTGAAAGATTCCTCCCATAACCTTGCCTGCTATAACAGCACACTTGCGGGTTGAGCGGTACAGCAGGCATCCAAAGAGTTCACTTGCGGGTTTCGGAGTACGGCAGCATCTGACAAGCGAAGGTTATAACCTCAGGGCAGAGAGGGCTGGCACAATAAGGATGGCATGATGATGACAGAGCCAATTAAGTAAGGAAGAGCTGTTCACGCCTCCATAAAAGACACCGTCTTCGCTTGAATAGAATGCCCAGAAATTACAGCTGTACTTGGGGGAACATGCAGTCTGCATACAGTGATAATGACCGAGCGTTCTATTTGGGTGAAGACGGCAGCATTGCACATAACCACAGAGCAGCTACGGCAAAGAGCACGTTAATTGCAGGCAACGACGGAAGCGCAAGATCCACCACATGTCACCATGCAGTCAATGCAGATCACTTGCCCACAAAGTGGCCGCCTATGCCTGGCTGCAGACAGAGGTGATGGTGTTCACAGCTCAGAGCAACTATGCATGCATTGATGTGCAAAAGCGATCATCACACATTACCAACGCATTTCCCGACTGTGGTAGGGAGGCGGGCAAGGGATCCACCACAACTAGAGAAGATGCAAGGTCCGTCATTCCCATTGGTGCCCTTTCCCATTCCTTGAGCATTGAGAACAAGGTTCACCATTGGTGAAGACGCAAGGTTTCATCATCAGGGTGGTCGCATCCTTTGGTGCCCTTTCGCATTCCTCGAGTCTTCAGAACAAGGTTCGCCATTGTTGGAGGGCTGCAAGGACGAGAAATAAGCAGTGGTGAAGGATGGGGAGACAGAGGGACGCAGGGGGAAGGAGACACAAGACCAGTGGCATCATGATGCCCATTGAGGCTTCAGGTATCTCCCATCTCTCATCCTGTCAATCTGTGGTGGAAAAGCACCTTCACTGCTGCCTCCTTATAACAGTTTTTTTTTTCTTTTTTTTTCTCCCTCCCTCTCCCTGATTCTCACTTCAAACCACCACTGATTCTCCACATGCCTTTGTGGGACGTCACCAATATCTGTGCATGGCTGCAGGCCAGTTTGGCCAACTGGCCAGCCTCAAGTAGGCCCGATGGTTCAAAATTCCAGGGTCAGACTGAGAAGACGTTGGGCAATTAAGGTTTGGGAACAGCACTTGACAATGGCTCCTCCTCCTCTTTCCCTCCCTCTCACTGACTGACGATGGCTCCTTCAATGCCTCTGGAAGGAGAACCTCCAATTTGAACCCGAAAGATGATCATGCCCCTTCAGATCCATATACCCATATACCTTCGGGTAGCGAATGGTATACCCTAGGGTATGGAAGGGCATAACCTAGGTTAGGGAAGAGTATACCCTAGAGTATAACAGAAGGGTATATGGCCTAGGTTATAGAATGGTATACCCTAGGGTACAATAGAAGGGCCTGCCCAGGTTAGGAATGGTATAGCCTATGGTAGAGAAAGTTATAGCCTAGGTTAGGGAATGGTATACCGTAGGGTATAGAAGGGTATATAGCCTAGGTTAGGGAAGGGTATACCCTTGGGCATAATAGAAGGGTCTGCCTACGGTAGGTTATAAAGCTAT